CCTTAAAAAGGGCGGAATATTTATAAAAATAACTGTTATGCGTAGGTATCGTAAGCCTTTAAGTATTTAATTAGCAGATTTTTCCTATAAGGCGATTGATTTTATAATTCGATGCTCAAATAAGAAAATTTCTCAATTTAAGTATCGCGCGGCATTACTCGGAGGGAATAAAGCAATATCGAGTACATAAGTCGATAATAATGATGTACCGACGTCGATAAATTCCCACGTCTTTTATTCCCACTTCAAAACAAAATTATGTTTGCGTTCGCCGTATTTTAATTCTCTCTGAAATATTACTAGAAAATTGAAAGGGCATACGAATTTCAATATTCGCTTTGTATACGAATGGAACTATGATGAGTAGCATCTGGCTATGCGAGTTAACATCTATAAGTAATAAACCTAGATATTTTATGGGGCTGAAAGGCTATTGTTTAAAAATAATGATAATAAACTTGACATTGACAATTCTCGTTTATCTTTTACTAGCTGTGTCAGCGACTTCGCGTAAAATCGTTATTTTGGGCATTGAAATTTGTTTTTGAAGCCTGCTCTTCATGTTTATAAATAAAAGCTGTTACCCACGGTACCCACACCGGTCGACTCCCGTTCCTTGCGACCCGCCGTTCGGGTCCTGCCGTACTTGCAAGTTAATCTTCAAAGACAAGTTAGTGTAGCGGACATTTTTTTAGATAATTTAAAGAGAAATCATTCTTTCATACCTATTTTTTTAAGTGAACCGTTTTCTCAGCGTACGCATCGGAAACCCACAGAGATAAATAATTTCTCCCGTCTTTTCCACATTTTCCGCTGTCTCTTTGGTCTTATTATTCACAGTGCGATGTTTTATAGTCCGTAGCCTTCCTCGATAAACGCTCAAATCATCACAAATAATTTTTCAATTAGAACCAGTAGTTCTTGAGATTAACGCGTTCAAACGTACAAACAAACTCTTCAGATTTATATATTTGTATTATCTGTCTGCAAGTAGAACACATTCAGTTAACAAAGAGGGAAACAACATAAAGCTCGATTATGATACACGACTTTTCAAACATAACGGTTTTTCCGGTATGGAACTAAGCCATGTAATGTTTTTTTCTCTCTAAGCCCGTTCGTGTTTCCGTCTAATTAGGGCCAGTGGCGCCATCTCGCAGGCGCTCCGCTAACAATCGTTTCAAGTTCGTTTTAATGCCAATTTACCTGCTCCATTGTTTTGAGCGTCAAGTATCTCCGCCGTAGCGTCGAGAGAGATTTACTCGGATCACTTACGCTAAAGTCCCCTTGCGAATTAATCAGTCCTTTATTAGCGACGGATGTTGTTACAAGCCATTAGTGCTTGACTTGTTTTAACAATCGTGCATATTGTATTATATTGTTACAGGTACACATGTTGTATTGTATAGTGTACTTACGCTGGGAACTATTGAATTGTAGGGATTGCGAGTGAGCCTCTTCGATGTGTGTATGCGCTTGAAACAGAAATGACTAACTAGTCTTTGTAGCGTCCACGGCTAAAATTTACTGTAAAATGTATAAATTGTTCTTTACAGTATTTATGAATACGGATTTTTATTAAAACATACGTTACGTATTAGGCATTAGGTATTGTATTTGCGTCGTTATGTTTCATACCTATATGCTAAGTTATATTAAACAAAATCTTTTTTACTTTTTAAGCTTTGACGTTGACGCAATGGGAACAGTTTAATAAAACGTTTATTTCTACTAAAATATGACATTTTTCTCGATGTATTACGCGAAATATATTAGTTAACGTATTTATAATTTCTCTTCTAAGGCCCGTCATTTCGGATGCTTTGCAGTTGTGGTCACGGGGGGCGGAGTTAAAACAAATTTTAAATAAGTTATTATATATTTAGCGTTTAAAACCAGCTTTTTTTAATATGTACCATTTGTGTAAGTACAGACAATGCATATTCCTATTAGTTAACAATTTAATTTAACGGGTCTTCTCGTGGTTGTTGTCAAGTAGTACCTAACTCGGATATTTCATGTCTTGGAACGACAAATTGCATATTTTCCAATATCGACGGAACGCTACACGATGGATATATCGAAGCTGAGGGCGGTAAATCGTAGAAGTGCGGAACGCGGGACGGAGAAGCAACGGTGAAATTAATTTCGCATGATGAATGATGAGTGATGCGTCTGATATTTACAATTTCATTATTGAAAGACATATAAATGCTTGCATGTATCGATCAGTTGAAAAAATCGACGATTAGGTGTAGGACTCGATAGCTCAATTGGCACGCACGGAACACTGTCGATGCCGGTTCAAGTCCTGCCCGAGTTGATAATTATTTCAATTTATTTTCGAATTTTAAATTATATAGTGCCATCATCAGTTTTCAGATATCTAATTAAAAAAAATATCAATGTATAGAATAGACATAAAGTATCGCCTAGTCTTAATGCTTAAAACTTTTAAAAAGTAAAATCTCCTTCCCTCTACGCGTGCCTTGAGATGGACACATTTTTGTGTCTCTTTTACTGATATATTATAAACGGGTAAATAATAAGATTTTGTCCAGTGCGCCCGAAACTGTCCCTTTGTTCTCTAAATGTGTTTTGTTGGTTTACTTAAAGTGTAAAATCCCGTTTCCTCTACGCATAGCATGAGGTGAACACATTTTTGTGTCCGTTTTATTGATACAGACAAAATATTTATAAGATTTTTGTACAGTCCTATCCAAACTAGTCCTTTGTTCTCAAATGTGTTTTGTTGGTCATTTAAGGATATATTATGTTTCCTCGGGATTTTGCGGTATCTCGAGGTATAGATAGTACTAGTCAGTTTTATATGGTAAGCTGAGAAGTCGCTCGACTGCCTCTAAGTCTTACGTATTAGCGTGATTATATATAGGCGATAATATTTTTTTAAATAAAACACTTTAACGGCTTAAAACTCGCGGAGATTCCCCGTAACCACGGCTGCTGCAAAGCATCCGAAACGTCGGGCCATAGTTAAAATAATTTAAATTTAACTATATATTAAATGTGTACTATTCGCTTAAACTACAGACAGGATTTAACAATGTTTACTTAATTATTACGTGATATAAAGTTAAGTCCATAAAAAGTGAATTCTCGTCTTTTTATCATAAAAAGAGGCCAAAAGGAATAGTCAATAAGCGTGTTAACGCGTAAACCATTTAAAGTGCAATGTGACAGGCCCACTTTATTCAGTTAGAGATCAAAAGATCCGGGGCAGAGCGAGCCTGTATTCGATGCGGAAACTGTACCGGGATTATCCCACCGTGAGCAAACAACCGTCCGCAAAGCTCCTACAAACTGAAGGCACACGTGAACTATGTTAACGAAAAGACGATAAAACCTTTATCTTATTATGGACCTCGAAAAAACTCGAGCGGTACTGGCGAGCAGAAAGCCAATTTCGTCGAAGTCACTTTTTTTCACAACTACCCTCCTGCTGGGAACTTTTAATTTAAGCCGCTGAGTGACGATTTAATTAGACTCTGGATAAATTTAGTATTGTCTGATAAGGGGTGAAGTTGATTGTGCGATTGTGATGCTATAAATAAAACACCTTTACATTCCTTGTCTGACTTACGTATAGAAAGTTAGCAATAAATTTTATTTTTAAACAGTTTTATTTAGCTCGATCCGTACGGAATTTATTTATTTGGGTCAATATTTGAAATTGAAATTTAAGCACCTTCTCGTTGTCAAATCGATCTGAAATTTGGTACACACATTTAATTTAGATGACAATACAATATCATAAACAGTATAAATCCAAGATGGCCGCCGATATAAAATGGCGGATTACTTATTTTTCCCTAACCCCCTCAATATGGGTATCAAATGAAAGGGACTAGTAAAACACATTGATTAAAGTCAAAAAAATTTTAATATATAGTATATTTAAGAACTGATCTATATACAGTCTGTAGTTTACGCGAGTAGTATACATTTAAATAAAACTGTAACGGTTTTAAACGCGATATATAATAGTTACGGGGAGACCTCCCCGTAACCATAGATGGATGTTGCATAGCATACTAAACTTCGGGCCGTAGTTAAAATAATTTTCAAATAGATAGAAGTTATAGTGTTTTATTTCAACTTATCTATAAATAAAAAAACTAGCTGTCGTTTGACTCAAACATTTATTATATCAGTTAATTTATAGTAAAAATACCCTCTTGTGAAAGTTCTCTAGGTTAATCTTCGATATAAAAATAGTCTTTGCATCTATGCATACTTAAAATCGATAGCACAGACATAGTGCAAATATATAACAAGCGTACAAGATAAACCATATATTTTAAAGCTTCCGTTGTCGGGTCGTAAAGAATGATCCGATGTCTCGGGCGGCGCCATTACGGGAACGCATGAAAAATTCATATAGTTGCCGTTTGATCGCGTTAACGTGTGGCGGCGTCGCGCGCGCACCTCCCTCGGGTGCGCTAAGCGCGGCTTATGGCGCACTTCATAATCTTACAAAGTACTTCGTTACATCTTATGCATGTACCACTGCTGGGCATCATAGAGGTTTTCAAAGTTCAGTGTTGTGGCTAAACTGCTCCAACGCTGCTTGTTGGGTTTTAGTTACGGATACCACTATATTAGTCATGATTACCGATATCATTGACAGGTACAATATCATATAGCCTTTTTTTCCTATTCCTTCTTGATGTTTTATTTTAATGTATACTAATCGCATAAACTGCAGTCAATACTTAAGTTTGGAAAAATGTCATGTAAGTGTCTTAGTACACGAATAGCTTATATGGTAAAGTAAATGACTAAACAGAATAAAGTTTTTACTATCTTAATTAGTATTCATATAGCTTCAAAAATTTTAAGAGTATATAGTGCTACGAATAATTTTAAGTAAGAATAAAAAGTTATATATGTATGTACTTACTATTATATATTTGAATTGTTTATTGTGTCGTGTATAATGAAATATTGTTGAAGAATTAACGTTTTGTTTTTTTTTTCAGTGGATCTGCTGCAAATGCTGGAATTTAACGTGACAGTATCATTCCCAGCAGCGCCTCTTTTAACGGTCATTCTTGCGTTAGTTGGTAAGTTCTATTCATATTTTACCATTCAACTGAGTGCATCTCTAAATTATTAGACTTCAATAGTTTCAAACTCCTGAATTTCATACGAGAAGTTATCTCCCAATTAGTCGTATTAGGAATTGAAGGTATGGCGTCAACCAATTAATAGCCGGTGCACGAGACAAAACACGTAAACAGCGTATACGGATGTTGGAACCGTATTTACGGTGTAAGGAGCTCTTGAGTTGAACGCAGACACGTAGAATGAATACCGTTTTCACTTTGTGAACTTTGAAACGTACAGTGTGATACTCACTTGCTAGAACGTAGCTTAATTCGAATTTCAAATGTATCATGACGCTTCTTTCTTATTTAACGTAATAAAATTATAAACATTCCATATTTAAAATATATAAAGGTGTCGTGGGTTACTCCAAACTGTTAAATTAACCTTGTTTATAACATCTCTTTAGATATCTAATTTAGTTATTACGGAACTAATCCCAAATTTTATACTATTAAGTAAAACTCACAAGCACACAAGTTGTTATTATACTGTAAATGTTGTTCTATTTTTATCGTATAATGTTTATACGATATATTACAATTTTAGCTAAATTTTTTGTAAGCTGTATTTTTTACCTTTACAGTATTTATAACGACTTTTATTATACTTTGTTTTCACATTATCCTTGGTAGAACTTTTGGTTCTGGTGCCGATTGTCAAACCATTTTTTGAATCAATTCTCAGCTAGTTAAAAAATAATCATAAAAAACACAATACACACATATAGTGAATATGTTTGTATTATAATATAATTACGGCAATGGACATTTTAAGTTTAAAAAACTAGTAATATCATCTATTTCAACCAGCGACCAAAATCACGAACGACGTTCAGTGTAATTTATCAAGACCCAACCGAATCGGCGATTTCAATAGTAATAATTTTGTGTGTCGGCGTCTTCGTAACACAGTTCGTTGTAAATATTGTAACAGTTATTCAGATCTTTTAATAATTTTGACGATTCTTATTCTTTAATATAGTTTAATATATATTATTTTATGAACGAATATGTATATCTAGAATGTTCGGTTTAAAAGCACCGAATATATACTAGCATATCGTAATATTGTTAGTGAGTAACAGCGTCTTAAGTATGGCTGAGTGAATTACTCCGAAGAACTTCAGCCGTGCGCACTGGATCGTAAGTGTTCAGTTAGGTTACTGGCACGATACATGTACTGTGTCTTCGAGACGTTAGTAGGTCAGTCGATTCAACAAGTACTCCGGGCGTCGCCTGTTGCTGGCTGGGCGTGGCGCCTGTTGCGCCAAGCAGACGCCGCTGCCGCCCACTACGGGCTCCTTGTGCTCATGTTCTACAAATACTTTTGACCTATTTTTAGTGAAATTCGTTCTCTTCGACTTGTTGATACGGCACAACTGTTGCTTCGATGTCGATTAAAGGTGGCGATATCTTGGCTCGCAGTTTTCTAATGGCTTACTTGTCGTGTTTTTTTGTAGAAATGTCGTGTCGCTGTCAATCGCTATAAACATCCAGACTGTAATTTTTATGTCTGTTTTTATCCATTTAATTGAAAGGCTTATTATTTTAAGCAATTCCTCTTTCAATTCCTCTGCACTGTCCGACTCAAAGTATTATGTTTCTGAATTTTAACGATCAGACTTGAATTACTAGTTATTCACGCAACTCGTCAAACTGCCTTTCTCAACATATTGGCGACTGTCCGTTTGAATCAAGCGCATAGCGTTTTTAGCTACGGCGTAGACCTCTACGCCATCTCTAGTTATTTTTGTAGTTCATTGCAGCTAATTATAGTAAGTTCGTTATATATTCACAACTTCTATTGTTAATGCCTTTTAAATATGTACAGTTATTCATTTGCATTTGATAATGAAAACGAAATAATATTAAAAAAAAACGAATATCCAAAGCCAAAGTACATTTTGTTATATGGCTAGTTGAAAAAATTGAGACAATTTCGAATAAAATTTGTAAATTTAATAAGTACGTTTCAATCTTCCCGCATCGAAATTAGTACATGCTCCATCTATGCTCATACGTGGCTATAGATGGCATTCAATATATCATTGTGGATGAACGAATCCGTCTTGTCGTATATGTTGCACACTACAATTGCCGACTCAATTATTGCGAGGAGCCAGCTGAAATTCTAATCTTGAAAGTTGAACGTGTATGCGCCCGCATTGCATGTCTGATTAATATCGCTACGATTCCTACGGCTTCTGATAACTTTCGACTATAACCGCAATGACTTCGACCAACTGCAGTACTCCTTAATATTAGTCTCATATGTAGATAGATTTATAGCGATGCGATGTTTGCTGCATGTCGCTACCTAACTCCATTCTGATTAGTTCGTTTAGTTTTATATTAATATTCCAAAAACAACCATATAAACATATGCTTGGGTTTGTGACAAAATATAAAATAATAAATATCCAAAGCCATAATAGGTCGATAGCGCATCTTGTTTGGATGATAAATAATAATAATATTTCACCTTCCGCGGATTTAACTGAATGCTGATCGTTTATCCTCTGTCATTAAATATTCTTAAGTTAACGCGATAAACTATTCACTCTTAACTATTACTACCTTTAATTACCTCGTGACTACGACTTCTAAAATAAATACGAAACTTTCTGTAGTAGTTGAAAATAAATCGACTAACTTATTACGCATTCGAAACCGTTTAAAGTGTTTCATTTAGGAAGTATATTATATTTATAGTTCAAAAGTTCGTGTAACGTACGCTTTTTTCATTTCAGTCTTATTTATTTATAATAGCTCTATTAATTATAACACATGCCTCCAAATAAAAAAAAAACTTACCTACTAATTTATAAATATAAGGCGGCCTTATTGTCCAGCAGTGATCTCTTCCAGGCAAGCTGGTGTACACGAGAAAAGAAATGGAGACAGGCTTATTAAGTGGGGCGTCTTCTGAATAAAAGAGAAAACGCACTTTAAGCGCGTGTTAAATATGTAACATATATTTACCTTGCCCTTTACCATCTCGAGTAAATTGTTTGTTTGCTTTTCTATCGTTTTTCATATAACGCTTTTTTAACAAAAACTTGGTTAAAACATTTCAATTCGCTCTTAAGTTCGGCACACGTACTAATCTCTATTATCAAGCCGACTGTTCCGAGCTCGTAGACATTTCAATTACCCTAGCGTCAGATTAAATTTTGTCATCTGTGCGCCCTCGTACGTCTTCTCTTTTCAACTCCTAGCAGCCTATTCCATGCTGGGATTACGTCAAGTCGACGGGGACATCTCAAAGTGAAACAAACGCGGATGGCATTTGGTAGCGTGAAAATAATAACGCGCGAAGGTGACGCAGCATCGGGTCGGCTTATTTCAGTTGTCATGTTTTTGTTTGGTCACATAGCATCACGTACGGAGCAGGCACGCACCTCGCTACGAACGCTGAATACTAATACAGCTGGCTACAGCTCCGCTGCCACCGAAAATTGGATTCGAATCGCATATACTGCTCCGTATTAACGCGGCCGTATGAAACAATAGCCAATCAAACGCGCTGTGTCCCGATTTTCACTAGACTTTTTGTGCGACAGAAGAGGATAGACACAACAATAGGGTTTGCTTGATGGGTGAAATACCTTAGCTATAGAACATTTAAACAAGATGCGCTGTCGGCTTATTTTGTTTTTTTTATTATGTTCGGGCTTTTCCATCAGTGGACGGTGGGGGATTTTCCTGACGAAAGGCAACATGTTTCAGATCCAAATCCTGAAGGAAATAAAACCCTCGACCATTTAGTAGCCATTACTATCATTATCTTCTCAATTTTCACTGTGACTTTGTTTTGAGCTTAATAATTGATGTAACAGAGGACCGGGAGTAGCCGTAAAACTGGTAAATATTGCATAATTTGGTCTATTTGCCATTCGTGACGGGTTATAATGTATCAATGAGTAATCCCTGCGCAATTGGACGAGGCATGGACCGTTTTATTTACTTTATGATTATTTGTAGATGCCAATTTACTTTACCTAAATAACTAACTTGAACGAGCTACGCTGAGAACTTTGCTAATTCGAGTTTCAAATTAAAAATACTTAAATTCGAAATTTAAAATAAAACAGGAATCTTAAAACATAGTTTATTTATTGCCCAGAATTGCGTTAAGCGCGAGAGTTAAACTTAATAGTTTTCGATCGGAAAAGGCATATGATAGTATGACATGCTACTTAATAAAGTGCCAAAAAGGGTCGCGAGGTTTGAAACAATAGATGGATAGCAGCGCCATGACGCTGCGGCCGCGAGACGATGACGCCGCATTAAAATGAAATCCACACGGATGATTGATGAGGCACGCAAACACTACGCCGCGCCTGCCTCATTCAATTTGCTGTCACTCCGCTATATTATGCAGTTTTCGACGTTTTTCGACGGCTAATCGAACGGTTCAATACGGAAGGCGGCGGCGAGACTTGCTGTTGTGGCGGATTGTTTGTGTGGGATCGGCGGTCTTACGGTAGCAATGTATAGCTAATAATCAACGGGGTCCAACATGCTTCTAACCAATTTTTAATTCTCTAAAATATAGCCTATATTTTAGAGAATTATAAGGCTTAAGCTACAGTTAGGAATATCGAAAATATCGTCTCCGTCATGAACCGCCGGCAACAAAAGAAAAAAAACAGTGAAGTTTAATCGTTTTTTATTTTCTGTCAGTACATTTTGAAATATTCTTAATCAAATTAGGTCGCTAGCACACGTTGTTGTTATATGACTATTGTTCACCTTCCTTGAAGTGAACTTCATGCTGATCTGTCCTGTTCTATCACAAATCTTTTCGCATATTATGTTATATAAAACTTGATAACTGAAGAAAATTTGTGATAGTATAGAATCGTTTTTTTAATCCTGGCTGTTCGTGTTCTCGTTTGACGTCACATAACAAGTTAAAAGATTACAAGTCACTTTAAAAGTTAGTATGACAA